AAGTCAGGAAAGAATTTGTCAGATTAGCGTCAGAGAGCTCTTCCAGGAGAGGAAGACAATGCCGCCTTCAGCAGCTCACATGGCTGCCAGGGGTGACCTGGTCCGTTTTTACCTTTTCTGGTCACCACTGCCAGCACAGCAGGCAGAGCCAGGGAAAGACAGCTGCAAAATTCCTGCAAGGATTATAGTCCTCCTCTCCTCTTCCTTCCTCACTGACCAAGACTTAAGGGATGAGTTTTAGAACCACTGATAAGGCATCTGGACTCTCCACAATGCTAAAATAGACCTGACAGGGAAAACTTCGTTTGTGGGCAGTTTTTAGAATTTCTCCTGGAACATCTCAATCATAGTTGTTTTTAAAATTTAAGTAGGATTCACACAAAACAGTTCACCCAATATCATTGTTTTTCATATAAGTTATAATGACCAATTTGAAAGTTAGAAAGTCACCAACCCAGGAACTCTGTAGATGAGAGCTAAACATGATCTTTCAAAGATGTAGCCAAGAATACCATGATTTTTAGAAAAGCAACTTCAAATGCATGTGATTTATTAAGTGAAATATTCCTTTAACCCAAACCCTGCTTAAAAGATTTATTTTCTGCTATTCTTTTAAATTGCTCTGGACTTCACCAACAGGCCCAGCTGTTAAAACTTGGGAGCGGGGACAACGATCCCTGGGCAAAGACTCCCTCTGTAGCCATCAGAGAAAGCTGACAAAGTCAAGCCCCTCAAGCCCACCACAAAGACGGACAAACAAAATATATACACTACACTCGCCTTAAAGAAAACAAAATTCCACCCCGTGATGGATCCTGCTTGCTAAAAGAAGCCCACAACTCTGAACAGAGTAAGCAAGCAGAGGAGCTGGCATTACAGGCTTCTGAAAATGAGAAGCTGTCCAAACACAGGAGTCAGGGTGAAGCAGGGAGAATGGCTTCTGTCCTGGAGGCCCCAGGACTCCGGAAACAGACTGACAGACTGACAGACTTTAAGAGCTAAGCGGTGCTGGGCGCAAGCGTCACCTGAACATCATGGTGTTGAGGACTGGGTTCCCTGAATCCCTCGGTTCTGCCTGTGCTTCCCAAATCAAGACTTCCTTCTATGTCAGCACCTGGGGGCAGGTGACCACTGCCAGACAAATTTGGGGCAATCAACCCCAAACATGCGTGAGACACTGTCCTTTCCAGAGACAATCAGCCTGCAGCAAAACTGCCTGTTCTGGGTCCATGACCATTAATAAAATCCAAAAAGCTGGGCTATGGTCTCAGTTCTGATTACTCTTCAATAAACCATTGCCCTCCTCTTTTATAGTTTCTTTCTTTTTTAGACAAGGTCTCACTGTGTAATTCATGCTAGTCTAGAATTCACTATGCAGCCCAGGCTGGTCTCAAAATTGCAGTGATCCTCCCGCCTCAACCTCCCAAGCACTGGGATTACAGGCACGCACCACCACACCTGGCCCCCCTCTTTTTAAAATGTGACTTTAAAATATTTTTAAATGTATTTCAACTGCAGAATTCAAAATCAACTTTGGATTATAATTTATAAATTAACTCTGGGGCTGGGGATTTAGCTCAGCGGCATAAGCGACTGCCTTGCAAGCATAGGATTGTGAGTTCGATCCCCAGTACCGATAAAAATAAATAAATAAATAAACTCCTCAAGGCAGAAATCTATACCAATAGAGTTGTTCATTAAACCCTGAATTTCTAATTTAATTAAGTGAAAAGCTTTACATGAAAAATAATTTATCCTACCAATGCAAAGTATTTAAAGTTAATATAGAAATGTGCCACTTAAACAACTTTACTGGTGCCAAAATTTTGAAAGAAAAGAACACCATGACATTACCATAATTCTGACGTCCATTTAGCTACAAATGTTCACGTAAAAATTATTTTTTACCCAAGTGAACAGTCATGATAAACCTAAGAAATCAGGCCGGCTTTGTGTTCCCTTTTTTCCCTGTCCCAAGACTTCAATTTCCACCTTTTATGGAAAGGAAATAAACAACTGGCTTCCTGTTCAATCACTAGCTTACAGCCGGGCTTTTACACATCACAGCACCCAGCCCGCCGCCGCCTCCTCCTCTCTCAGATGTCTCTTATCTTAATTTAAACTTGTTGAAATGCGAGACCATTTTACCACACTAATGTTTTCCTATGAAAGGTACTTATTCCAACATTAAGAAAGCAAGAAGCATCAAGTTGTCCATTACTTCTTATTCCTAAAACACCCAATCTAAATGGTTTACGTAACCAAGAGTGTCCCTGGAAAACTTGTAAAAGACTTAAGTTTAAAGGGAACAGCACCTCACTTTGTCCTCACTGTTGTTTGCCACTAGAAAGGGGCTCCCACAGCCGCCCGTTCTATGCTAATGATGTTAAAACATAAAACAGCTAAAATGGCAATCAATGAAAAGGATTAACCTTTCTTATAAGCCAAATATTACTTTAACCTTGTATTTCCCTTTAAAGATGGGCTGCCTGAGCAAAACCGAAGTAGACGGGCGGCTTCTTTTGTGCTTGGATGAACAACAGGGAGCAGGGCTGAGCCTCCGGGAGGAGCCGCTGCTGCTCAGGCCAGGCCCGGAGAGCGGGCTCCGCGGTGACACTCGAGGAAAGGCCTTTCGCGTCTGGACTCTGCATTCCTTGAGAACAATTCATGGCAATAACCAGCTTCGCAGAGGAGCCACATGAAAGCGGGGGCCAATGAATGAGGGTCATCTGCTCTTTATCACAAGGGTAAACCTCATCCTGGCCAGTTTCTAACCTTTTAACCCTGTGAATTCCTAATTTACACATGAATAATGGAATTCTTGCCTAGAGTACAACTTTTAGCTTCTAGTTCCTAGGTTTAGAGACCCAGACTTGATTGCCTGGGTGTTAAAAATCCACAGCTTGCAGATTTAAATTTTAGATTTCATGTACTGTGCTGTTACATTCTGAACCAAAAGATATGCTTGCTTACATTGCTAAAAAAATAAAAGAACACACTCATCTCGCTGTTATCAATGGCTAGAGGAATGAGCTTTGAAAACCCCACACCAGAATGCCCACTTATCGCCATCCCCTTCCTGTTTATGCCAGATAACATCTTTGCCCTGAAGATAGGATAAAGGGTTTGGAGCCCCCATCTCGGGACCCCACGGCTCAGCTTCGTCAACTGGGAATCTCAGAAACTTCGTATTTCTAAAAAAACCCAAATCCTCTATGCAGTTCTTACTTTAAGTCAATAATACTGAGTGGGTTTTCTAGCACAAGACCCCTCAGGGCTAACTAAAATGTGGATAGTTAGTATTCAACAGCAAAACAATCTTCTAGAGTTTCACTGGAGAGCATGAAAACCACTTCACCATGACACACTTCAAAATGACTCCCATCGGACGAAGCATTTATCCTAAGTTTTCACGAACCCAAAAATCCAAGAATTTTTAAAGCAAATACGTGTGTGCGTGTGTGCTGGGTCTTGGGCACGCTGAGCAGATACTCTGTCACTGAGCTATTACGTTTGCCTGGGAGCCCTATCACACACCTTTCTGGCTTTGTATATAAAAGTCGGAAAGCTCTGTGTGCGCTCCAAGTGTTTCAGCAAGCCTGAGGATTCTTCTAGGGAGGTCCCGGAAACAACATGTGCCGTGACAAATGCTTCATCTTTTCAAGGCCTGCGGGCCCCTCCCCCTCCCCTGCCTCCCGCGCCCCTCCCCCAGGGTCCTCACAGATCCAGGCAGAAAATCCCAGGCTCCCCAGCCTGGAAAAGTGGGGGGGAAAGCTGGAACCCTGGAGAGCAACTTCACACTGGTCAGAAACTGAACAGAATTTACAGATTAAGGGCACACTGTCCTGAAAAGTGTGGGGGCAGGAAAGCCATTATTGACTGGAAAAACTGACCACCAGCCAATGATTACAACAACAAAAAGAAAAAGAAAGTTCTCTTAGGAATCCTCTCCAGTTTTTGTTTTCTTTAGTAAGGACAAGGATGGGACATTTGGAAATTTCTGTTATCTTTACTTGCAATTTATCTTCTCCAATTAATCACTACTGTACGAATGAAACAAATCACTAATATGAGGATGGCATCATTATCGCCATAAACTGCTACAATAAAGTTACCACGAGACTCCTGCCAAAGCCTACCTTTCAATTGTACATATCGAGAAAAAACTATTTCTTAAAGATAACACCTGTTTATCTCAAGTACTCTCTTTTCCTGTCATTTGGGTGTTTCATCAACTTGTAGGGATAGTGTAAAATCTATTTTTTGTGCATTAGCAAAAGCATGCAGCGAGGATGCCTAGAAAGCCACATTAAGACAGCTTGTTTTGTCTGTCAACATCTGAGGAACCTGCTGGAGTCCGGGTGCAGAGGGCAACCACCTGGGAGGCACACCCTCAGGAAGCCAGCAGCTCTCACCATCCACCCAGCCACCCACCCACGGAGCCTGGACAGGGAACCTCTGCACGATGAACCATCAGAGTCAAGCAGATCTGGTTTTATGCCATTAGGCATAATACAGAGATGGCCTTAACTTGGTGCTCGCCCAGCAGGGAAAGGCAGGACAGTGGTGACCTAGGCCCTCTCAACCACCAGAAAGCAATCTGGGTGATGGAAAAGCAGCCAGAGAAACAGGAGGCTGGCTCGGAGAAACTTATGCGCAGGGCTGTCCACCAAGCAGGCTTCACATGTGACCACTTTCATGACTGATTTCCAAAAGGTGAGACTGTACCACAACCTGGTTGTTAGCCAAACCTGTTCCTAGTGTGTGACCTGAACTTTATATGAAGCCAGCCTGTAGGTTTTGTTTTGCTTGGTTTTCCAAACTATTTTTGACTTCTGTCTCGTTCATCTTACTTTATGTACGTACTCCTCTCTGCATCCCTCTATCAATTAGTATCCCAGGAAAATTCTGAACATGTGATTTTACAGGTCTGATATTTGTAACAAGGAATCACCAAATGGTACAGAGGAAAATGTTAAGACCAACACTGCCGCACTTACTTGATAAAGCGAGATGTGCTTTCTGGCTCAGGATGGCTCCATATTTGTTCACTGCCAAGCACTGGTAAAATCCTTCGTCAGACTGGGCTCCCCGCCTGCCTTCCACCTCGCTGATGTACAAAGAGCCATTAGAAAGAACCTGGATCCGTTTACTTTCAGATACTTTTGCTCCATTTTTCAACCACGTGACCTTAATAGGAACTTCTCCGTGAGCCTGGCAATCTAAGAAGACCGGGTCCTTTCTTGTGACAGTAACATCCTGTGGTTCTCTTATAAAAAACAGTTCACTAAAGCACCACACACCTACAAGAAGAAAGGCATATCCAGAATTACAGGTGTAAAATTATTTCACACACAAACGTGAAACACACATTCAGGGTGAAGCCTGGAGTCTAAGCATCTGCATTGCTTGCCTTATAAAAGTTTCAGTAAGTCTTTCCAACAAGGTAGAGAAGTCACCTTTTGCCACACCCACACCAAAGGCAGAGTTTAAACAACTTCTATCCCTTGTAAGGATTTTCAGATTCCTTGTTAGTTTCAAAATCTTCAGGAAAACTCATGAGCACAAGCTGTCTGCTACTTTTACAAGCTTGTCAAAAAGATCTTGAACAAAGTAAGTCGTAAAAGTCTAATTTTACAAGAAATCATTAGCAAAACTCTAACTCGGTGAACAAGCAAGTTACTTCCTCCTGCCTTGAAGTGTTTCTGGAACCCTTGGCACCCACTTCTTTGGAAAGTGTGGTTATCTTTGGTGACAAATTACAAGTGTGCATTTTTCTATCTGCCCTTTTACATCTGGGGTTCTGGCTCCTCTCCTTGAAAGAAATCCATTTACTTAATTTCTACAGGGACAGCTAGGTATTTAAAAGGCAAACAATAGACTTTGAAAAGTTGGTAACTCTTGCCTCTTGTACTCAGTGGGTGATCAGGGCCATCGGATTAGGAAACTTTTATTTCACTTTTTTTAGAACTAACAACCGTTGGAAAAAATGCGTGACTAATCGGTCCTTACTGTCTAATAGGGATAGGAGATTGCTTAATCAACCAATACACATTTTTTATCAGAACAGAGGAAAGGTTTTAACCTAACCACATACACAGCCCGTCAGGATAAAGGATCCGATGACAACCAATGCAGGTTCAGTGCTGCGCTTGGCGCACAGCCGGGAAGTCCTGCCTCGATGGGCCGTGGAGACCCAAACTTGGGCCAGGGGACCGTCTTCCCCCCGCAGTTCTGAACCTAAGACTACTAATCCCCAGGAACAGCTTCTGTTTGCATCCCCAGGGCTCCTCGACGGAAGCAGCAGTCCCGAGGGCCGCACCTGACTGCGGTCCTTTCTGCCTGTGACCGGCGCGGGCCACGCGCAAATACACGCGGGAACCACGCCGGAGCCAGGGACAAAGTGGGCTCCTCCGAGCTGGTGCGCGACCCGCCACGCACCCAGCTCTGCACGCTCGGCACCCTGCACCCCGCGCTCTCGCGCCCGGGCTCCGCGCCTCCCCGCGCCCCGCCGCAGAGACGCCCCTTCCCCGGGCACCCGCCCCACCGCAGCCACGTGCGGCCGGCTCCGCCGAGGGACAATGGCCGCGGGGTCGGCGGCCGGGGCCGGACGCAGCGAGGGGGACGCGCACCTGGGCCGGCGCCGAGCAGCGGCGGCAGCAGCAGCAGCAGCAGCGCGCGCATCCCCGGCGGCCGCGCGGACGGCGCCATCAGCGGGTCCTGGCGGGCATGGCCGGGACGGGCCGGGCCGTACTGGACCGGGACCGGGACCGGGACCGAGACCGGGTCCGGGACCGAGACGGGGCAGGACTGGGACCCGACCCGACCTGGACCGGGCGGGCCGCGCGGCGGCGTGCAGGCGGCAGGCGTGGAGCCGCGGTGCGGACTGAGCCCGCGGTGTGGACGGCGGCGGCGGAGTGGACGGCGGCGGAGGCGGCGCCGAGTGGACAGGCGGGGACTACTTTCCGGGCGCGGAGGGACATGGGGCGGGGCAAGGGCCGAGCTCTGGCCGCCCACCGGGTCCCACCGGGTCCCACCGGGTCCTGCCCTTCCCGGAGGCGGAGGAGGCAAGGGAGCCCCAGGAGAGGGCCAGCCGTGGGGACCCCACGCAGGGACCGGAGATGTGGGTCGGAGGGTGCGGCCCCGTTTGAAGACCTCAGATTGGAACCACAGCCCAGAACTGAGGTCTGACGCTGCTATCCCTAAGGGACCCGCGGCCTTAGGTCTGGGGAGTCGTGCAAAGGCCCTGTCTCCATTAAGAGGCAACCCCAGGGCTCTGGATCCTGAAACCTGAGGTAGGGGTCAAGGCTCTGACCAGGCACCTCTGATCTCAGGAATTTGTGTCCCCTGCTGCAGACAGTGAGAGGAAAGAGGAGCCAGGCGCACACCTAGAGTGAGGATGGCAGAGCGCATTCACGTGTGGAAACTGAGGCACGGGCCAGGTCCAGGCTGGAAGCTTGCTGTCCTGAGAGCCGCTGACCGAGTCCCGGCCCGGAATCCTCCTGAGCAGAGTAGCATGCAGACCGTTTAGAACACCTAGGTAGCAATTTTAACCTAACTGCACGTAAGACGGCAGTACCCTTGGCGGTGTTGCTTCCAAATCTTTTAATTTAGATGGGGCCGAACTATTTCTAGGCACAGAGTAAAGGTTCATGGAGAGGGAAACCTGTTTGTGCAGTAAAACGAAGGCTTGGCGCAGATGTTTTAATGGTCATCGAGGTTTACACACCTGCTGCTCTTCGGCTTGCTGGCAGGACATCTTACCTCATGGCACTTATCCGTTGGCTTTAAGTGCACCTATTTCTTGGATCGGAATCGTTAGTGAGGTGCCTCTGTGCTTTCTTTCTTGAATGAATCAGAAGAATAAGAGTCGGAGGAAGAGAGAGAGAGCCTAAAAGGCAGGGGAGAGTTGAGTTTACAAACTGCCGCTTTGCCTTTGCTGTCACATTTTCATTAGTTGTGGGAGCCTTTGGTTCTTGTGAGATAGCTTTGGACCTTGAGTGAGTTCCCTTCGGGAAGAATCTTTGCACGGTGTCCCCATGACGTGAGAAAATGTGTTGTTGGTGAAAAACCTGCACGGAGCTTTTCTGATGGATGATGACAGCCAGGGACTCACTCTGACGATGTAACTGCATCACATTACACAAAACTCGTAGCACAGCCGAAGTGTGTGTAGATGCTCACCTACCTAGTGCTCACAGTCACCCCGAGAGCTGAACAGAGATGCTGCCATCTCTGCACTTTAACTTGAGGAAACAGACTTCCCCGAGGTCGTTAGTTAGTGAAAACCACGCTAGATTTTTGTGCCCTCTGATTTCTGCGACCCTCTCTGCCTTTGATTTAAGCCTCCTCCCGCCTTGTTTTTCTACCACTGGCTGCAGAATGTAGCATGCGTGTCTGGACCACAGTGCATGTCTTCTTGCACAAGTGGATTCCTCCCGTGTGAGGCGTCCCTCAGCTTGCGAGCTGGCAGGCAGCTGTGGCAGAGCGCTAACCTAGGATGGCTCCTTCCCATCATTTCCCCAGCACCACATTTTGAATGCAGTTTTAAACGCCAGGTATTGGTTTCTAGCAGACTGCTGTTCTAAGATTTCAGTGTTGCATAAACAAGTTACGGGTGCTCTCAAATCTAATCTACTTAATGGGAATGAGGGTGATCCTGCTGTGCTCATGGTAACCTGAGGCCTGGCACATAGTGCTGTGCAAAATTGCCATCACTGTTTTGTAAGTAGAAGCTCCCAACAGTGACAAATCTTTGTACTTTCAAGGCAGGCCTGATTTTGAACAATCGTGGGGTTTTTTTTTGGTTTTTGGTAACTGGGATTGAACTCACGACCTCGAGCTTGCCAAGCAGGTGCTGTGCTGCTGAGCTTTATCCCCAGCCCTCAGCTTTTTAAGAGTCAGATGGATATATTTGTTTGGTTACCATGCTACCAAGGCCTTGAAACACTTCATGCAGTCGTCCTTAAGGAGTTCTGAAGGAGATGAGAGGTGTGGGACTGTCTAACCTCCAAAGCTACAGCCCGAGAGGGTAAATCTGACCACGATAATAAACAACCTAGGCCCATTTCTTGCTTTCATATTCTACAAGGATAATTATTGTCAGACTGGAAGGAATACACTCCATATAGTGAGAAAAAGAGCTGAAATTTGAGAGGAGTTAAAGGAACATAATCAGTTCCTTTATTAAATCCATTAAATCTCCTGTCCCAACTTTAGGGGGAAGATCATATAATAGCCATCAAATCATAGAACTATAGTAAATGGCCTTCAAGCCCTCTGGCCTCTAAACATTGCCTGGTTCTGTAGAATTGCAGCACAATTTGTTGGAGAATGAGAGTCATAGAAAATGCCAGAAGGCAGTGAGCCCCACTCCCACCCTTTTCCCATACCAGAAATTGAACCACTGAGCTACATCCCCAACCACATATATATGTGTGGGGGCTGGCCTCAAACTTGTGATCCTTCTGCCTCAACCTCCTAGAATGCTAAAATTACAGGTGTCTACCACTAAAACCTGTAAAAGTATGCCCTTTTAAGCAAATATTTATCAAGCTCTTCATACATGGAAGACCAGGCCTGATGTGTTCTTATTCTATGATTTTTTTTATAGTTCAGTCACTGATAAACTTAATGATGACCACTGGAAGCTTTGTGAAATGCAGTATTCTTCAAAATGCACTGTAGCTGCTGGAACTGTGAAATGCCCCAAGTACTATCAAAATCACTGGAAGACTCTTTAAAAAACTAAAAACTGTCATTAACCTGAAAATTCCACTTTTGCATATATATTCAATAGGATTAAAAACTGAGTTTTGGAATCAAAAGCATCATACTATAGCAGTGTATACATACCCATGTTTATAGTGGCACAGTTTGGAATAGCCAAATCTTAGAAACAGTCCAAATGAGCATTAACTGGTGAATGGATAACGAAGGTGTGGTTTTTCTATACCGTGGAGCACTACTCTGCCATAAGGAAGGATAAGCTTGAAACATCTCTGGGTAAATGGGTGCACCTCGAGATCATACTTGTAGGTGAAGTAAATTGGACCAATGTGTAACTACTGCATTGTTGCTCTTCTGAAAGTGTAAATAAGGACCAAAATGTATAACAGGTTTTGTGAAATAGGAAAAACATATTCAAGTGGGGAAGGGAACAAGAGAGAGGGGAGGAGGAAAGGAAAGGAAAAGAAAAAAATGAGAAAAGGAAAACATGGAGACAAAGCTTCTGTAAATGAGGAGGGAAGGAGAGGTTGAAGAAAGGGTAGGGGAATGGGAAAAAAAGAATCAAGTTATATCCTGTACGGGTACAAACTATCTATGATAATCGTGATCATTATGTATGTCTAAAATGCACCAATAAAATCTAATTAGAGGGTCTGGGGATTTAGCTCAGCGGCATAAGCACCTGCCTTGCAAGCAGGTGGTTGTGAGTTCGATCCCCGGTACCGATAAAAAAAAAAAAATTAAAAAAAATTTAATTAGAAAAAAACCAGGCTTTCAAAGATATTTGGATATACATGTTCATTACAGTTTTGCTCACAACAGCCAAGATGTGAACTTAACCTAAGTATCTAGCAAAGGGTCAGGGAAAGTGAAGAGTGTTATTCTGCCTTGAAGAGTAACATGGAGTTGTTAGGGTTGTGTCTAGCTGTCCCCCAAAGCCTCGTGCAGGCTTTTCAGAGGTGGCTGAAGGTAGGGAGTATGACTGATTCATGGTCCAATGCTGGGATTAGGGGTGAGAGTCACACACACCCTAGAGCAGGCAGCCTGTGCGCAACATAAGCAACAGAAAGAGGCTTGACCCTGCTCACTGTCTCTCTCGTTACTTTTGGTGTCTTCTGCTGCCATGAGTAGTTGCCCCTCTGCCATGCCACCCTCTGGGAGCCAGGGGCTTATGGACAGAAACCTCTACAAACTGAGATAAATAAACCTTTCATCCTTTAACTTTAGGTGTCAGGCATTGTGTCTCAGTGACAAGAAAAGTAACTAAGACAATTAGAAAATGCTATTCAGCTTTTAAAAAGAAGAAAAAACTGAGCAATGTGAGGCAAGCCTGTAATCCCAGAACTCAGAGAAGCTGAGGCAGGGGGATTGTAAGTTTGAGCCCAGTATGAGCAACTCAGAAACACAGCAAGACCACATCTCAAAATATTTTAAAGAGAGGACTGGGAATGCTGCTTAGTGTGAATGAAGGCCCTGGTTTCAGTCTCTAGTACTGAGACAAAGAAGAAACACTTGTCATATGCTGCATCATGGATGAACTTTGAGGACATCATTCTAAACAAAATAAGGAAAAAAGTAAAAATAACCCACACAGAATGCATGCTTCTGCTTAAGTATCTTAAGAAATCAAACTGATATTAAGACAAAATAGAACTGGTCACCAGGGATGAGGGGAAGGGAGAAAACAAAGCTGTTTTACAGGCATGAAGTAAGGGACATAAAGAGTGTTATAAATATTTGTTGCAGGACAATGTGCATGTCATTAACGATAGTGTCCTGTAATTTAAAATTATTAAGAGGGTAAATCTATGTGTTGTGTGTTGCTTATAAATACATAGGAAAGGCAGCCAGCGTGATAAGGCAGAAGCTATCTGCAGCGCTGTGGGCAGACAGTGTAGCCACTGGCTGGCCCCTGACTAACTTCACACCTGCAGATTACGTGCCCAGGCCCTGTCCACCTGCCAACCTTGAACCAGTCTGCATTTCATTTCACTTTGGCTAAGGTGGCAGAGTTTCCAACCAACCAATCCACATGATCTTGGGAGTTGGAAGAGGCCAAGACCTGGGGAGGAGAGGGTTTCCACACAGTGACGGGGTGAGAACTAGCCCTGGGAGACATCTTTGGAAAGGCTGTGGGCTGGACCTCGAAACCCTGAGAAGTTTAAGCTCAACC